CTTCCAGACTTACTTGAGAGGTAGCGGTTCATTCCAGACGTGCCCTCAAGTTATCTATATTTATTGTTTTGTTCTATTCTAGAACTTTACTATGAGACTTGTATATTTTATTCAGATTCCGTATTAGAGGTTTGTACATGTGACAACCAATTCTGGGGTTATGTTGAGTTTATTTAAAGACTTCCGCTTATCTTTCTATCTTATTCTTGTTTTATTAATTCCGTATCGTCGGGTTTTTGGGTGTTAGGCTGACGTGTCCGGTGGGGTTTGGACACGTGCCATCACATCCGGTTTTGGGGTGTGACAAGGACAATAACTAGGTACATGGAGGGAGACTTTTCTTATGTGCTTGAATATGTTACACAAGGAAATTTATTGTCAGATTAAATTAGGAGGTTATTGTTGAGAAGATGAACTAACACACAATTAATTTTCCTATTAAAGCCTAATACTCTAATTTTTATTTTCCACGACCACACATATATATAAACTTGTTTGAAGTGAAACATAAAGCATATTAGCATAATCAACCAAAACATAAATTACTAGTCTTGAAGCATTTATCACCTTTCAACAATGGCTTATAATCACAACAACCCATCTTTTTTACTTGTTATTATTTGTCACTTTGTTTTAACAAACAACTACATAAATCTAGCAGACGCGCGCCATCTTCTTGAAGTAATTTTGCCTGAGTTTCCTAAGCCTAAATTGCCACATTTACCTGAAATCCCAACTTTGCCTATATATGCCTGAATTCCGTGAAATTCCAAAACCCGAGCTACCAACTCTATCAAGGCATGCATTGCTACATTTACCTGAAATCTCAGCTTTGCCTAAGCCCAAACTATTTCCTGAAATCCCAAAACCCGAGCTACCAACTCTATCAAGGCCTGCATTGCCATATTTACCTAAAATCCCAACTTTGCCTAAGCCCAAATTATTTCCTGAAATCTCAAAACCCGAGCTACCAACTCTATCAAGGACTGCATTGCCACATTTACCTAAAATCCCAGCTTTGCCTAAGCCCAAATTATTTCCTGAAATCCCAAAACCCGAGCTACCAACTCTACCAAAGCTCGAATTTCCCAAAATCCCAACATTACCAAAGTCTGAACTTCCACCATTGCCAAAACTTAAAATGTTAAGACTTAATTATGTTATGTGATCATATGTATGTTTTTTCTTTATTGTGCTAGAATCATTTGCAGCTTCCCTTTATATAGTTGTTCTATATATCATCAGTTATTGGTATTTCTTCTGGTGTTACATGTATATATTTTTTATATACTAAATCTTGAATTTTTTGTTAGACTTTAGGCACATTTACAAAGAGTGTTAATTGTCTCTAAAGAATATATTTAGCGGCAATTAAGCTATTACCGTTAATTAATTGTCATTAAAGATTTTTTTTTTGTGTAATGTTTTTTTTTTTTGCTTTGGAATTGGAAGGATTATATTTATTAAATAGTAGGTTCATCCATACAAAAAGGAATTGATCTAAATGATATAGTTCCATTCGCATCTCTTTCAAGTGCTTTTAGTGTAAAGGAAAAAGACGCTTCAAAAAACAAACAACTTGTTCATAGGCATATTTGGATCCATAGTCTTCCTTCCATATTCCGCTAATATGTCTGCTACTGAGTTAGCCTCCCTCATTATATGCTTCATTGTTGATCCTCCCATCAGTAGGAGCATTGACCTGCAATCCAAATAAATGTGTGAGTGTATTGGTTTAGCACTTTCTAAGGTGTTAAGTAATACATGAGAGTCGGTCTCCACGAGCAAATGATTAATGTTTATTTTCGGTGCTAGTTTCAAACCATGGAGCAAAGCTAGTAGTTCCGCATGATGGGCATTAGCAACTTTTACTTTGCAAGAAAATCCTACAATCCAAGTGCCTAGATGGTCCCTTATAACTCCACCGGTTCCACCCATCAACTGCCTGAAATTTTTCTTATGTTAGAAATTTCTCGATCATTTTGGTGTAATGTGATACTCGCATTAAAGATTTTTTTGGTGTAATGTGGAGTATTAGTGATCTATGAAAAAAAATAGGATTATTTTAAATCCAAATCCAAAGATAATAGACTATTTCTAGTATTTTCTCATTCAAAGTACTTATATTCAAACTTGTAGACTATCTAGGGATGACAATGGGTCGGGATGGGTGGGATGCGGTGCTGGTTGCGGGTATATGTAATTTTACGTTGGTTTAATTTTTTTTTAACTTTTTACATGTTATAAGAGTGATAAAACATTATTTATTAAGATAATTTCTTTAAAGCTGCTAAAATATTCAAGATAGTAAATGAAATGATTCAATAAAAAATAATACAATTTCTTACATGTTTTCTAATTGACCTCTAAAAAATAAATTTTTAAGTCACTATCCTATTAAATTAATACAACTTAATGAAAAAATGAATTTATTTTTATGAAATATATTTTTAGTATCAAACTTAACTAGAAAAAGAAAATATTAAAGAAATTATAAGGGGCAGATTAATGCGAGGTGGGTCTATGAAGGGCGGGTTGAAAATAAAAAAAATTGCTATGCGAAGCGGGGCGAGGCTTAAAAATTTAGCGGGTTAAGCTCAACCCACACCGCCCCTTTGTCATCCCTAGCAGTATCCAACCCTTGTCTTAAGAGTGTTAGTTTCATGAAACTACCTATAGATTCAAACTTTTATATTACTTACAATTTTGTTAAACACAAATGTCTGACTTAACAATTCGATTTTTTATATTATTTACAATTTTGTTAAACACAAATGTTTCAAAAGGACACTATTATATGGCTACGATATTATGTCTTCCACAATATATCTCCTGCTAACGCAATAGGCATGGTCCAATCTAGATATTAGGCAAAGGAAATTAAGCAAGTAGATATAAATTGGAGAAGAAAGTTTTTTTTTTTTTTTTTGCTTTGGAACTGGAAGGATTTTATTTATTAAATAGTAGGTTCATCCATACAAAAAGGAACTGACCTAAACGATATAGTTCTATTCGCATCTCTTTCAAGAGCTTTTGATGTAAAGGAAGAAGATGCTTCAAAAATAAACAACTTGTTCATAGACATATTTGAATCCATAATTTTCCTTCCATATTCCGCTAATATATCTGCTATTGAGTTAGCCTCCCTCATTATATGCGTCATTGTTGATCTTCCCATCAATATGAGCATTAAAATATTTACTTTAATTTAGCCAAGAAAGTCAAATAATTAAACATCACTCCTATTATGGTTTACCTTAATTTAGTTTATCGACAACTTAGCCACCTTAATCATGTTTCACCTTCGTAAGGAGTTTCAAACTTCATGACTTAACTCATTCCTTCCGTCCATATTATATGATATTTTTAATTTGGACACACCCTTTAAGAAAAACATCACTCCTAAGAAATAAGAAATGAAAAAGTAAAAACACCATATAAAATAAATCGAAGAAAGTAATAAACATCATCAACATTAGATGTGTTATCTCACTATGTGCAACTTACCATCATTAATAACATGAAGATGATACAACTCAACAAATTGAAGAAATTAATAGCCAAAAAAAGAAAAGGCTAGTAATGATCAATTCAACATGGACCCCTACATTGAATATTTTGATGTTTCATAGATACAACTCAGAAGAAAAATAAATAAGAGTAGAGGTTATAATTTCCCATGCTATTCTATGTTCTATAGTGCCATATATTACAAATTAGGAGTAACCCTATAAATTTGAGGCTAAGCATGAAGGTGTTTAAATCAAACCGAAAAAATTGTACTATCAAATTGAAAAGTCAAATAATATTACATAAATTATCAAGTCTGGAGCGATGTATTCAAAATTGTGACTTCGTCTCTCACGATTTTGAATACATCGCTCCAAACTTTAATAATGCTTAATTGAATGTGTATCGTTATTCAATTATCAAGTGTTGCTGAAATATGTCAATCAATTTATTTATTTATATTCACATTTTAAAATAATTTAACTCTTATAATTTCTTCAAATTTGAGGTGTGTTATCGATAAATTTTAAAATTAACCTAAGTATAACATTCTTTAGGTTTATTTTATATTAATTTTTGTGTTTAATTATTAAATTTAATTATGTTTTCTTCGAATTTGAGGTGTGTTATCGATAAATTTTAAAATTAACCAAAGTATAACATTCTTTAGGTTTATTTTATATTAATTTTTGTGTTTAATTATTAAATTTAATTATGTTTGAACATGTACATATTATTGAAATTTTAATGTTATAATAACGAAATAATTATCATCGTGATTTTGAAAAAGTCTCATTTACTTTGTAAAATTGTCTAACAAATCTTTAATTAGGTTAGCACAAGTATAGTGCATATAACACCATAACAAATCTTTGTATGCCTATGTGTGCAACAAAAATAAGACAAAGAAAATATATATTTGATGATGCATATTTTTTTGTTTGTAACATTATTCACTTGTTTGGCAAAGATGATTTTTACAGGAGTAATTAATCTAAACTCGTAAAGGAAAAGGGTCGGTGGGGGATATTTGAGAAAGTCGGGCTGATCAAATGTTTTTATTCAAGTGACAGTACATAAGAAGAACAAATGAATTGAGAGGAGGGCGGGGACAGGGAAAAGAGTCGAGTCGATCAGGCTCGACGATTGGGAGAAGCAAAACGAAATTAGAATTTGATCCAAAAAAAAGCAAAGCTATGAATATCATGACCGATGCGATCATATAAATATAAATATACCTGATTACTTATATTTGTATTGTCATCATATTTCAATATCATGAGTATGTAAAATATCATGATAAATTTATAACCAAACTAAAACCTACTTATACATAATTGAATTAACACCGCCACTATGTGATATAGTCATATAGATATGTGGTGGATAATATTTTTTATTGGTTAGCTTCTTTAATTAACATCTATATATAAAAGCTATAAGTTTTATACATTTTCTCAACTTATTGCTATTACTAGAAAAAAGACAATATGGGTATGAAAGGCAAAATGATTGTTTCATTGGAGGTGAAGTGTGGAGGACACTCGATTTATGATATTTTTCACACTAATACTCATCATCTACCCAACATAAGCCCTAGTAGGGTCAAGCATTTTGAGATTCATGAAGGTGAAATCGGAAAAATTGGTTCGGTTGTTAGCTTGAAATATTATGAAGGTACGCAACACACATAAAATTTATCTTTCTCGCAATATTATTTTCTTGCATCAATTTCTATATTTAGGTGTATTTCATATTAGGATTTTAATGAATTCGGAGTAACATCTATGGTATTTTCTGATCTTTAATGTATAGATGGAAAAGAAATGTTCGCTAAGATTGTGATTGAAGCCATCAATCCTCAGAAGAAATCAATTACTTGGAAAGTGATTGACGGAAATCTTTTAGAGTTGTATAATTCCTTCACTGTTATCACATCTTGTGAACATTGGACTACAATTACACTTGTGTACGAGAAAAAAACTGAAGATACTCCAGAACCCCTTGCTCTCTTGGATTATTTCATTGGTATGACCAAAGATGTTGAAGGTCACCTTCTCAAGAAATAGAAAATTGGTGATGTTCAATGGTCCTATATATACATATGTTTGTGTGTTTGTTCTTAATTGTGTGATGAGTATTTGAAAATATTGGCTAGTGCTAGCTAGCATGTAAAATAAATAATATTATGTTTGAAGAATATAGAATATATATGTACTATGTACGTCAGCCTTTACGTAATGTCAAAATTTGAAGTTTATGAATTTCTTCTGCAACCTCAAGGTAGTATACGACAATAACTAGGAACATAACATGAGTATTGTCAACAGTTATCTTTACTATTATTGTACATAATCTAGTTATGGTGTGTCATTTTATTCAATAGAACCTTTGTCTAATTTTAAACAAAACTAAGTTCTCTCTTTAGATTACCTACTTGAAGACTTTTTATTTTGTGTTGAGTAGGAATATTTACATAAAATATGTTATATAAGTAAATTTATTTGTAGATTAAATTAGGAGGTTATTGTTGAGAAGATGAACTAACACACAATTTTTCCTACCAAAGCCTAATTCTCCAATTTTTAATTTCTACAACCACACATCTATATAAACTTATTTGAAGTGAAACATAAAGCAAAATCAATCAAAGCATAACTTACTAGTCTTGATATCACCTTTCAACAAATATGGCTTATTACTACAACCCATCTTTTTTCTTCTTATTATTTATCACTTTGTTTTTAACAAGTGATTATGTAATTCAATCAGACGCTCGTCATCTTCTTGAAATAACTCTACCTGAGCTTCCTAAGCCCGAACTGCCACATTTACCTGAAATCCCAACTTTACCTAAGCTTGAATTCCCTAAAATTCCAAAACCTGAGCTACCAACTCTACCAAAGCCCGAACTGCCAAAAATCCCAAAGCCAGAGTTACCAACATTGCCAAAGCCCGAACTTCCAGCATTGCCAAAACTCGAGATACCTGTTATTCCTAAGCCTGAATTACCAACTTTGCCAAAGCTAGAAATCCCTCAAGTACCTAAAAAGCCTTGAGCGCGAGGCGTATAAAATCATCTTTGCTTCGTTGAAGCAACATTGTTAAATTTTAAACACTTCATTATGTAATGTGACCAAATATATATGTTTTTTATTTATTGTGCTAGAACTATTTCCAGCTTCCCTTTTGGAAGATATATATTTATGTGATTGTTCTATATATCATCAGTTATTTGTGTTTCTTGGGCGTTACATGTATTTTTTTTATACAGTAAATATTGAATGTTTAATTTTAGGTATTTTGTGTCTATAGTGATTTTACTGAATAGAAGTTAATTAATAATAACCTAATACTACTGGTGATCAGTGTGATATTTGATAGTATATTATTTTGGAACAAGGTCAGTAAATGTATCATTTATTGATAATTATATTAAATATAAGTAATGAATAATGTTTGAATTGTGTTGGATACTATCCTAACGTGAATTTGGTTTTATTTAAATCAGTTCATATTTAATTTTGATTTAATCAAGTATTGAATTTTTTTAATTAACTGACGTAGGCCTCTAATAAGGAATTAACCATGTGGCATAAGTAATTTTCCAAAATTAAATATATTTTCTGTTAAAAATAATAACACAAAAGAACTCTTTTTATATAGGTAATGGCATAGATAAACCTATTTTTTAACGAATGATCGATATAAATAATTTATTCATAATAATTCGATGACATATTCCAAAAAAAAAATCCTTTAAATAAAAGATGTGAACAGGTAGTGTGACCAATGTTATTATCTTGGCAATTTAACGATATTTTTCAATGGTCTTGACATGTGTCTATAATCTTTTTATTGACTAATTACATTTTGACACTTTTCCAAAAAAAACGCGCTTATCTTATGAATGGATCCGACTCAATATTTTTTTCGAATAACATTGGAATAAAGCTAACCAGGCCAAGGACATTCAAGAATAACTCTAGAAAGTTATTAGATTCTCTTTGAAGACACTACTACAAAATAAGGAGTTAGTTATGAATAAAATTTGATAATTAAATAACAAAAATTGTGTATTAATTTCATTTAGTTATAAATTAGTAATAGATTATTAAAAAAAAGTTAATTAGCTAAAACTATTTAGACTTTAGTGATGAATTAATTAGAAATTACTGATAAATTTTTTAAGTAGAAAGTGAGAGATTCTTTTAAGGTGAATAATGGACCGATGGTATAAGTTCCCGTTTTCCTTTTTCTTTTTGAAATTCTAATTAATTAAGTGCTAAAATTATTCTGAAGTGATAAAAAGAATAAATCAATACAAGGTCATGATATATTGTTGTGGCACATAAACCAATTAAGTTGAAAAAAATTTAATTGTTTTTTTTTTAAAGATGTTGGGACTTGTTAAAATTAGGGTGCACAAAGGCATCAATTTACCACTCAAGGATGCATTTCATAGTGATCCTTATGTTGTTGTTACCATGGGTGATCAGGTACATGTTATAATATCTTCTTTGATAATATTTTTTGCATATTTCATGAGTTTGATCATATTGAATGGTCAAATATATCGTCTTTTAGAGGTATATTTAGGATAGGTTTTTCGATAATATAGTTGATCGAGCTCCTATATTTTTATATGAAAAATATTACATTCATTAATTACGACTCTTGATCACCCGTGACTTTTAACATTTTAGAAAATCTCGTTTTTATATCTTAAGATTTATTACAAAACCAACAATTTGGTCTCAGACTATGTGTTTTTATGGTTAAAAAAGTTTCTAAAAAGTTTACTTATATACTCTCTTTGTCTAATTAATTGTGTTACTCTTTCTTTTTAGTCCGTTCAAATGTAATATTTTTTTTATATTTAGTAATCAAAAACACTCATCTTACCTTGAAGAAATAATTTATAAGTATACAAATATTTATTACCATAAGTTAATTCATTTTTTGTAATATTCCATTGTCTTGTCAAATTTTACTATATTATAAGAGGAAGTTTTAAGTGCTCAAGTTATAGGCAATTGGTTAATATGCTTGCTTGAGCACTTTGAGGGTATTTGTGTAATTTTATTGGTGATTTTTTCGTTTTAATTTGGTTATCTTTTTTAATTTTTTTATATTTAAAAATTACGTAAAAAATATTATAAATTATGATAATTGACAACTTAAATATTTTTTAAAAAATATAAAAAGTTCGACTAATTTTTGAAATTAATCTATCGGTGTCAACATAAAATGAGACAAAAGAAGTAACATGTATTATTTAATTTGGAAACTATGTAAAAAGTATTGTAAATTTCAATAATTAGCAATATTTGATTTACTCTTGAAATTTTATATGTCATATATATATATTAGGACAAGGGGAATAACATATATTATTTAAAAAGTACTATAAATCACAAAAATTAACAACTTAGAATATGTAAAAATCATATTAAAAATTAATTGACCATCTATACTCCATCTATATCACATAAACTGAGACAAAAAGAAAAAATAGATTTTGGGCCTGTACTAGCACGGACACCTATGTCTAGTATATTCACAAAAATTGGAATGAAGTATATAAATAATATATATATGAAAAATTATCTCGTTCTAAATTTAGAATTTATAAACTTAAAATCTTGAATACGTCTTTTTTGTGTTTCATTATGTCAAAGTTTAAATAATATCTGTTATTTGTACTGATGTTCTGCAATTGTCTTGTAGAAAGTGAAGACTAGTTGTAAGAAGAACAACTGCAACCCTGTCTGGGATGATGAATTGACCCTTGCACTGAAAAATCCAAATGTTCAAATTGTTTTGGTGAGTATTCTCTCTTATTATTATTCTTCAATGAAACTAATTAAGCTCAATTGTAGCTAAATATTTTTACGTTAATAGACAGAACATCTATTATCACTAAATGTCCTTTGGCATAATACATAAACAAGACCATTAACCTGGCTTCAGCGGACAATTATGCCCTCAAACATTGAGTGTGCACAAGTAGACACTTAAACTATTGTATAAAATTGAACAAGTAGGACGCCACGTAGGACACAAAATTTCCATGTAGGGTGTCATGTAGGACGAATGTGTCCATTTGTTCAATTTTATAAAAGTTTAAGTGTCTACTTGTGCACATCCAAAGTTAAAGGTCGTAGTTGCCAGCTGATGCCAAGTTATGAATCATGTTTATGTGTTATGTGAGTGTCTCTTTTGTTGTAGTGAAGGTAAAAATTCAATTAGTCAACCAATTGAGCTACTAATATTTCTCGATATATCTAATTAATTTTTAATTTGATGATGAGGATATTTTCAGACTGTGTATGACAAAGATACATTTAGTAAAGATGACAAAATAGGTGAAGCAAAGATAGACATCAAACCATATCTTAAAGCATTGGAAATGAGCTATCATCAAGACCTTCCAAATAGTGTCAAAGTTGACAAAGTTCAGCCAAATAGAGACAATTGCTTAGCTAAGGAAAGTTGCATCATATGGGAAAATGGCAAATTGATCCAAGACATGACACTTATGTTGCAAAATGTGGAGTGTGGTGAAGTAAAATTGCAAATTGAGGTGATTCCTAAAATGTTATCTGAGGATGCATTCTATATTGCATAAGCTATAATTTTATTAGTAATCTAAATTTTATATTTATAATATGTATAAGTGTTATGGGATGAGCCTTGTATGAGGTCATTCTAATTGATAAATGTCCAAACACTAGTCTTTATTATGTAATTTAAGGGACAAACTATTTTTACTATTTTTGTTGTAATAAATTAAAATCATTGTGTTCGATGATCTAATCAACTAATAGTATTATGGTTGAAGAGAAAATAATAATACTCAGTCAGACGTTCAATCGAAGTGTATCAAATCAAGAATAAATATAATACGCTTCTATTATAGACGTTTTATTCTGACTCTATTTACGGAAGGCCAAGGCTACAAAATAGACATTACAATATAAAGAGTTTTACTTGAACACAAAGATCTTTAAACAAATATTACATGAAATATTTTATGATAATGGATATTTTAGAACCGATACATGAA